GAGACCTTGAACCAACAAAATCAGAACCCTGTAGTCTGTTGATGATAGGTAGATTCATTATCCTCTACTAATCTGCACTCACCTCAATTCTTTTTACATATTCTCTGTTTTGGGGAGTTTACGGCTCACAGGAGCATCATTCTTGGACATCTCAGCAATGACAGGGTTGCAGATGCTCTCAAGCTCTTTCAACTTCTGCTCAAACTTAGAAGAATCATTTAGGTGGGAGTTCCAATCAAGCCATTCAATTGTCTGATTTATAGTTTGTACCATAATCTTTTTGCCTCGACATGTAATCAGTTCTTCAGAAGGACCATTCACAACATCCCACATATTATTGAGATAGTTTTCTAAGTTAAACTTAGCTTTTACAGCCTTGTTGTGCGCCTCATCTTCAACCCTGTACATCTTGGCTTCCTCAACCATCCTGTCAATCTCTTCTTTAGATAATCTCCCACTATGATTGGTAATGGTTATCTGATTCTGGTTTCCAGTGCCTTTATCTGTTGCCGTCACAGTCAAGATGCCATTGGCATCTATACTGAAGCAATAAATCAAGCGAGCAACACCTTTTGGTTCAGGAGCAATGCCAGAGAGGACAAATTCATCCAAGAAGTTGTTCTCCCGGGCAACGGGCCTTTCACCCTCATACACAGGAACCAACACACTGGTCTGGTTATCATAAACAGTTGTAAATTTTTTCTCCATCTTTGTTGGAATTGGTGTGTTCCTTGGAATCACGACTTCCATTTCTCCACTGACAACTCTAGTGCCAATTGACAAGGGAGTAACATCGACAAGCATAAATTTCTGGTTATGCCGAACACCACTTAAGATAGCAGCTTGAATGGCAGCTCCATAAGCAACAGCCTCATCTAGGTTGATACTTTTACAAAGCTCCATTCCACCAAAAACATTCTGCAAAAGTTGTTGAACCTTGGGAATCCTAGTTGATCCACCTACAAGAACAACATCATTAATATTTGACTTTTCCATTTTTGCATCCCTTAAACACATTTCAACGGGGTCCATGCAATCCCTAAACAAATCCATGTTTTACTTTTCAAATCGAGCACGAGATATGGTTGAAGAGAAATCAACTCCATCATGAAGGCTATCTAATTGAATGGAAGTCTCCAAGACTGATGAAAGTACCCTTTTTGCTCTCTCTAGCAGCTCGCAACCTTGCAAGAGCTCTTGGGTTGCCATTTATATCCATACCATGTTTCCTCTTAAACTCGGCCACGAAATGGTTCAGCAATCTGATATCAAAATCACCTCCACCCAAGTGACTATTCCCACTAATAGCTTTTACTTCAAACGAATCTTTCCCAAGAGCTATCAAAGAGACATCAAAAGTCCCACCACCGAGATCAAAAACAAGAACATTTCTTGCTAATCCTTTACTGTCAATAGCCTTTTTCTCAAGTCCATAAGCAATGGCAGCAGCAGTTGGCTCATTGATGATCCGCATGACATTAATCCCGGCTATTGTGCCAGCATCTTTTGTAGCCTGTCTCTGTGAACTATTGAAGTAGGCAGGGACTGTGATGACAGCATTCTTTACTTCTGTACCAAGAAAGGACTCAGCAGTCTCTTTCAACTTCATGAGGATCATGGAAGAAATCTCTTCAGCAGCAAAATGCCTCTCTTCACCTTTAAATCTAACCACAATCATAGGCTTGTTGTCCTTATGAGGGCAGGAAAGAACCTTAAAAGGCCAGAGTTATTGTTTAATGTCACTTTGAACTGTTTCGTCAGTGAATCTTCGACCCATTAGCCTCTTTGCATCTGTTATAGATGAGGATTGAACTGATCAGTATCCACATTTATCTTGATAAACTATTTTCAAGAGATACTTGATGTCATTTAGCACCCTTTTCCTCACTATTAAATTTATTTCTGTTCCAGTCTTTAGTTAGTAGAAATAATTTTATTTTTTTTTCAAATTGCATTGCATTGCATTTAGTGAACTCCATTTTCTTATTTCTCTCTTGTAACTTTCCACCGAATCAAACAAAGAAAGAAGAGTTCAAAACTACGGAATAAATATTAAATTCAACCAAACACAACATTAGAGTTTATCACAGGACAGTGCCACAACGAATAATTATTTGCTTACAGATATCACACACAAGGGCTTTTTTTTTTTTGCTGCAATTAGATGTTAGTTGGTTGTCTATAAAGTTGTAACTCCACAACAATTTATACAAACCACTATTCCTTAAAACTCCAACAGGCAAAATCTTCTTTCAACCAAACATTTTTATTAAAATCTCTATTTTATACCATTTAAACAAGTTTAAAACAAACATATTGCATCCTATCAAATAAAAAAGGTTAAAAAAAGTATTCAAATTTCCTGTCAAAAAAAGTATGCAAATTTAATTTCAAGCTCTAAGAAATATTCTAGTCTTGATTAGCAACATTACATGCCATATATATGAGAGAGAGGGTTAACCGTAGATAGTATTAGTAGGATTAAGACCAGCCTGATTCTTAGCAGCTTCACCGACAAGGCGCTCATTTTGGGTGAATGCAACCCAAGATGGCGTGGTTCGGTTACCCTGATTGTTAGTGATAATCTCGATATGATCATGCTGCCAAACTCCCACACATGAGTAGGTGGTTCCAAGATCGATTCCTATTGCCGGCCATTCTCCTCCTTTCCCCTCCATATCTCAACTAATTAACAAAATCTAAAGACAGACATGTACAGTGTTAATACGAAATTGATGACAATTTTTTGTCTTTATATTGTTGGAAAAAATGCACACACAAAACAAAACAAAACAAAACAAAACAAAATACACAATCACAAGCAGAAACAGAAGCAGAAGCTTAACGACCTCATTTCCCAAATGAGATATAAAATGGGCAAACAACCAATCTCAAGCAAACAAATTAAAAAGACATTCGTGGAAACCCCAACAAACAGAGAGAAAAATACAAGACATGAACAAGTGGGTATACCAAATACCAATTTATCTTCTCTAAAAAACACTAGAAGCATATAAAATCATCAAGATACAATCTTGGAACAATAATTTTCCATAAAATTCATCACAATAACTTGCAAAATTCATTTATAAGGAGATTAAGGCTGAGTATAAAATACCGACTTTCAATAGTTGGGATGACAGCAGCTGTGTGTCCAAACTTGGAGCCGATTAGGTTCGTTCGGGTCTCGATTAGATGGCTGGACTAAAACTGCTCAAGTAGAACTCAATTTCACCACCTTTGCCTTGCCTTCTCTCCTTCTACTTTGTGTCTGAGTTATGCTGCTTCCTGCGGAAGTTTCTAGCAGCTCTTGTTTTGAATGTAAAATTGAATATACCCATTACCCACGCCCAATTATGCATATGCACATTTTGAATGTAAAATTCAAATTGCAAATAGTCGTCCCATGTTGTGTTGATGTTTAAGTCTTGTTTTGCTTATCTGAACTTATATGATCTGATCTGATCTGGTCTGATTTGAATGTCAGATTTGATCAAAATTTAACCATAAATATACGATAATTTATACGGAAAAAATGTATCAAATGGGGTCTTGTTAGATTCGTGATAATGTGTATTTTATTAATATGTGATTTTCAGAATTTTTTAATTACGAAATTAAAGATATTTAGCGATAAAAAAACTGCACGTAAAACGATGATCTGATCTGAACTTATTTTTTCTGAAATAAGTAAAAATAAGGTGAACTAAACAAGGCCTTAGTCTTGTGTTCATCTAATGTAACATAGGTAATAATGTAACAAAATTATGTAGCATGTAAAAAGTACTCCCTCTCTTAATTTTTTTTAAATGTATCAGTTTTATCGACATATTTGTCAATTGTCAAGACGTAACTTTGACCATTAATATCTTTAATTGTTTATTAATAAAAGCTGTAACAAAATTATATTATGAAAATAGATATTGTGATGAATCTTATAATATATTTATATACAAACATTTATTTATTTTAAATAGCAAAAAGAGCAAGTCAAACATGATATGTAAATAGTGCAATGTAAGTGAGTCGAAGTTTCAAGAACGGAAGTAGTAATATACATAAGTAACAAACAGTATGGAGTATGTAAAATGTAGGATTATTACACAAATTGACTAATTTATCAAAACAGATCGTATTAAGGTTGGTTTAATGCTGTGTTGATTTCATGCTAATGTTATGTCGATTTTGGTTGTGTTCTCATGTCATGTCAGAGATTGTTTGCTATAGAATTTAGTTTTGATCAACCAAACAACACGCAAATGGATAAACAAAAGGAATAGAGGATATTAAAAAGTTGGTAGTGGAAATGAGTGGGAATTGGGAGCCAGAGATGTAATATACAAAGTATAAATAGGGAATAAGTAAAAATAATTTTTATATTCGAAAAAATCGGTACCTTTAAAGAACAAATAGAATAGATAAATTAATATTAGGTATAAATAATTTCAATTCAATGTAAGACTGTAAGGCTAAAAAAAAAAATTCAATAAAAAAAATATTTTATCAAAGGAATATGGCAGTGTAAGACTGTAAGGCTATACAAAAATTTCAATAAAAATTTTTTTTATCAAAGGAATATGGCATAAGACTGTAAGGCTATACAAAAATTTCAATAAAAATTTTTTTTATCAAAGGAATATGGCAGTGTAAGACTGTAAGGCTATAAAAAATTTTCAATAAAAAAATATTTTATCTCTATTATATTTGCTCTTTAAAGTTACTTAGTATTGATTTTTTAGTGATTGTAATTTTTGCTAAAACTGTAATCATCTTTATTAATTTATTTTTTAAGGTAAAGACTCTTAAGAGAACAAAGCCTAAGATTATCTTTATTTAGGTACCTTATCTAGTAAACTCTCATGTTCTATGTTTGATTAATTTAAAGGCAGTGTCCTAGAATATACCAAAAATATCTAATTTAGTTGACATAGAACATGAGAACACGAATGAATTAAGGTTGTAATAAAAGTCAAACTAGGTAAATTATAGTTCATTAGAGGTATTAATGTAGGAAGACAAGGTGTTTATGAATGAACTAGGTTGTAGTGACATGAGGGAAAAAGAGGGATGGAGGAATCATTACTCTCCAAATGAGGGTAATAGGTTACCCACCCAGGCCACCCTCCCTCTACTCCCCTAGTGTAACCAATTACCCCCAAAATAAGGGTAATAGCTCCCTTTCTTCACCTATCACCACACCATCATTATATAAATCTTCTGATAATTACATCATCACTAGCTCTCCCTCTCCTATGTTTGCTTTAGTTTTGCTTGTTTAACTTTTATCACCCCTTAATTTAATTCTCCCAATTCAAGCGCCCACTAGATGATCATTTTGACGACAAAAAAAAAAAAAAAAAAAAAAAAATCTTTACTAGTCTGTTTAGCTACTCTGTTAAAACTTACCTGAGTAAAAAATAGAAATCTGTTTTTGATATGCATTATAAAGAAAAGAAAAGGAATAGTGGTATCATCGAATAATCTAAAAGCTAAAACATACAGTAAAATTTGAGTTGTTGCAAGATTGCCTTGTCTCAGAAACAGCAGTCACGAAAAGCATAAAACATTGTTTTAATAAACCTGGAATCAGTTCAGAACAATCAGCAAATCTTTAATTGAGTTAATTGCATAATAGGACTATCTAGGCATACTACATTCAAATTAGAAATCAGACCGGCTCAGTTTTGGTTCTCTTAACTCCAACATCATCACCATTCTTCTGCATTCTAGTGATGACAGGGTTGCAAATGCTTTCGATCTCCTTCAACTTCTCCTCAAACTTAGAAGCTTCAGTAAGATGGACATTCCAATCTAACCATTGAATTGTCTGTTGAATTATATCTTCCATTGTCCCGCCTTGTATTACGACTTTTCCTCCAGAGTTACCACTCACTATATCCCAAATCTTGGTGAGATAGTTCTCTAATTCAGACTTAGCTCTTGCCAATTTCTTGTGCTCCGTATCTTTGGCCCTGTACTTCTTAGCCTCCTCCACCATCCTATCAATTTCCTTCTTTGATAGCCTCCCACTGTGATTGGTAATGGTTATGTGGTTATTATTTCCAGTGCTTTTGTCCGTTGATGTCACGGTTAAGATGCCGTTGGCATCAATGCTGAAGCAATCAATTACCTTAGAAACACCTTTTGGTGCTGGGGGTATACCATGGAGCGTAAACTCACCCAAAAAGTTGTTCTCCCGAGCAATTGGTCGCTCACCCTCATACACATGATTAGCCATACTGGTCTGGTTGTCCAAAACAGTAAAAAATCTCTTCTCCATCTTTGTTGGAATTGGTGTGTTCCTCGGAATCACAACACACAGTTCACCAGATCTAATTTCAGTACCAATAGACAAGGGAGTGACATCCACAAGCACAACCTGCTGATTATGTCGCACACCACTCAAGATTGCAGCATGAATGGCTGCCCCATATGCAACAGCCTCATCTTGGTTGAGGCTTTTACAGAGCTCCTTTCCATTAAATAAATCTTGCAACATTTTTTGAACCTTAGGGATGCGAGTTGACCCACCCACAAGAACAACGTCATTGATATCACTCTTTTCCATCTTGGCATCCTTCAAACATTTTTTAACAATGTCCATGCAATCCCCGAACAACTCAATATTCAATAACTCAAATCGAGCCTGGGAAATGGTAGAAGAGAAATCAGTACCCTCATACAGGCAATCTACTTCAATAGCTGTCTCTGTGGTTGATGTGAGTGTTCTCTTTGCTCTCTCACATGCAGACCTCAACCTCGCAAGAGCTCTAGGGTTCCCACTGATGTCCTTATGGTACTTCCTCTTAAACTAATTCACAAAGTGACTCACCATTCTGTTGTCAAAATCCGTACCACCAAGGTGTGTGTTCCTACATATAGCTTTAACTTCAAATAAACCTTTTCCCACAAGCACCAAAGAAACATCAAAAGTCCCGCCACCAAGATCAAACACCAATACGTTCCTTACAGCATGCTTTTGATGAACAGCCTTCTTCTCAAGACCGTAGGCAATGGCAGCAGCTGTTGGTTCATTAATAATACGCATAACTTGGAGTCCAGCAAGGGTAGCAACATCTTTAGTTGCCTGTCGTTGAGAATCATTGAAGTACGCAGGAACAGTAACGACAGCATTCTTAACATCTGAGCCAAGATATGCCTCTGCAGTTTCTTTCATCTTCATCAAGATCATGGAGGATATCTGCTCAGGAGCAAATTGCTTTTCTTCACCCTTAAGTGTGACCGCAATTTCAGGTTTACTGTCTTTATGAGGCCAGGAAAGAACCTTGAAGGGCCAGAGTTTAATATCACTTTGTACTGTTTCATCAGTGAATCTTCTGCCAATCAGCCTCTTAGCATCTGTTATCAATGAGCAAAGATGAAAGCATAAAATTCGAGGAGGTTTTGATAAATGCATATAGATTATACTAGGGTAGTGTAATCTAGTTAGATATGTACCAGATTCCAAAGAATATTAAAGGAAACAATAAATCATTAAACTAGATTTCCCATCCTCTTAATATCTGATATCAAAGAGGACATTGACAAATGTATGTAGATAATATTAGGGTAGTGTAATCTAGCTAAATATATAACAGATTCCAAAGAATATCTAAGGAAACAATAAATCACTAAACCAGATTTTTTGATAATGTAAGTGTCTAGCAGACAGCTAGAGTTTTTGATAATGGAAATACAGAGTATATTATCATTCAAACAACTAGAGTTTAAAGCATTAACACCCAATTTTCTTCCATACGGTCATTTAACACGCCCTAGCAAACTCAGATATATCTACTATAGAGACATAGAGTGGTACTCCATTATATTGCAAATACTTCGTAATTAGCATCAATCCATTAAGAAGTGTTGGTGTCTAGACCCGAATTGAAGCTTTAATGTTACTGAATACTCCATAATGTACAAGCATAACGTTCAAAACACTTTGGTTGGAGACTTGAGTATAAGCTTAACAACCGGAAAAGCTTACCGCACTACTTTAGTTATTGTAGTTTATTATACTCGTACTTCATAATGTTCATACTTCCTCCATTTCACAAAATGGTTACACAAATTTTAACAATTTCTCCCTCCCCTGCACCCTTTTGACTGTTAATATCTAGTGACATAATATTAATATAGTACTTGTAATTAAAATTAAAGTATTACAGACAAATTTAAACAAGAACCCGCATAATTATTATAGATTGGATCAACAAAACTGGCCATAAATCATACAAAAGTAACAAAACGTTAGTATAACATGCTTGTTAAACCCTGCCATATCACATAAAAATCGAATCTTTGCAAAGTTATAAACAAAACATAATGTATACAAACTTTAACCCCATAATATAAAGAGAACTAGATTAAAATTACTGTAAACCACAATTGACTCAATTTGACCATGTTGCACAAAATTTGACCTAATTCAACGAAATTAGTCCGAATTGATTAGAAAAAATAAATCAAATTGTATAAAATGAGTCCAAATTAAACTAAATTAAACTTGCATGCACCAAAAATAAGTCCAAATCAGAGCATAAATTCGGCAAAATTAGAAAGAGGGAGTGAGAAAAAACCGTAAACGGTGTTAGTAGGATTTGCAGCAGCCTGATTCTTGGCAGCTTCACCAATAAGGCACTCAGTTGGGGTGAAGGCGACCCAAGACGGCGTCGTTCGGTTGCCCTGATCGTTGGTGATGATTTCAACACGGTCGTGTTGCCAAACTCCTACACAAGAGTATGTTGTTCCGAGATCGATTCCTATTGCTGGCCATTCTCCCACTTTCCCCTCCATTTTTCTGGGTTACTAAATGTAGAGATTACAAAATGTGTTCTTCCCGTTTTATAATGGGTAATTAGTTGATGAGAGCGAGCTCCGAGTAGTCAGTACTTTGAACTTGGTAAATTTGTGTCCTTTGATTTTCTTTTCATTATGGTCAGTCAAAATTGGTCAAATCTGATGAAATTTGCATAGTACACCAATTTGAAGGTCATATTAGCAATTTAGCATATATAGGCATGTCAGTAGAGCGGGTTAAATAGGAGACCCGTCCCATCCCCGCCTCAATGGGGCGAGGATGGGTCTCGGTTTGGCGGGTGGTGGGGCAGGGATGGGGATAAAAACCATACCCACCATGGGTGATGGGGCGGGGGTGGATTTTAAGTTGTACCTGCCCCATCCCCGCCCCGCCCCACCCGCCCCACTTCGTACCCGCCCCATTCCCACCTCATACCCACATCTATATATCTTTTAAAGCAAAATTACATACTTTTATTCTATTTATAAAATAATTACATGAAATACAATATTAATTATAATACTTTGTACGACACTTATATTATAACACAAAAATGTGTATAGAATGTTTTATTTTATAATTCGTATTAATTATGTAAGATTGTGTATTTGAGATGCGGATATTAGGTGGATCTTGGGTGGGGATTAGGCGGGTCTTTGGTGGGGATTAGGTGGGGATGGATATCCAAGTGGGGGGTGGGGCGGGGATGGTTTTGGAGTTGTACCCGGTGTGGCGGGGATGGGGATGAAAATTGGACCCGCCGCGGGGATGGAGATGAAAATATTAGGTGGGGATGGGGATGGGAATGTAGGGAATTATAGGTACTACACAGCGGAAATAAACATGAATCATATTCATACAGTACCTAATCCCAAGATCTAATGCATAACACATAAAGAACATATAATCGTACCTTTGAAGCGTGATTCCACATGCGATCGAGCAAGAAAAATGAGAGATAAAGAATCTCAAGCGTGATTCCTCTACTTGGTCCACGGGCACAGATTAAGACCTCCACTAATGCTAGTTAGTTGCAATTGAACCCTTCAATTGACCTTTTATGGAGAAGTGCGAGCAACGAACCACCATAAACCACCACGAACCACCACACGCGCCACCAAGGGTGGCCGGCCGTGAGTCCAAAGGGGAAGGAGAGGGAGCCGTGAATTAGAGAGGGAATAAGGGTTTTGGGATTGGTTGTCTTGATGTCAAAATTCACTGTGTGTGAATTATGACTACTTTGTTGCAACCCTAGGCATGGATCTTATTTATAGATCTCATCTCTAAATAAGAGTCCATGTCAAAAGCCCAAAACTTATTTCCAATCTAACTATGCTAGCCCAATCCATTTCATGATTAGTTAATTGCTCATGAGGCCCATTAATGGACCTCTAACTTGCTTAACCCAATACCCTTGTGTGTGACCTCATAGGATCCATTTTAGCGGGCTTTGGACTATTTGACTAGCCCAAATATCATCTCTCATAGTCTAGCAACAGATGATGACGCCCCAAGAGAACGAACTTATTATCTCCATAATAGTGATCCTTGATATATCTAGTAATTGCACTTATCGAAGACACAACTCCTTCAGGGAATGCCAACATCCTCCCCGCCCCGCCCCATTGACATCCCTAAGCATATATACGTAGTGAATTTTGTAGTAAGAGTCTTGTAATGGGACATTAATTTTAATAGTGTTGGAATTATAATCACAACAACACCCACGAAGTTATACACAAGACAATTAACCCACAATTCAATTTAGCATATATACGGAGTGAATTTTGTAGTAATAGTCTTGTAACGGGACATTAATTTTAATAGTGTTCGAATTATAATCACGACGACACCCACGAAGTCATACACAAGACAATTAACCCAGAATTCAATCTAATCTTCCTAATTCTCACACAACTAAATCACACAATAATGCAGATACCCATCAACATACAAGAATTACACGTGGAAAATCTAATTGATGTGAAGGATAAAAATCATGGAATCGTTTAAATAGTCCACCTTAACTTCTCTTATTGATAAAATGAGGAAAAAAATAGTATCTTTTTTTAACACAAAAGGGGATACTTGTATTATATTATGATAATGCCTAAGATGTAAATCATCAGGCCAAAAGAGGATAATAGGCTGTCAAAGGCTATTGACAGTCCAGAAAATCGATAATTAGGGGGCAAACTAATCCTTTCCCAATTATCTGATTTTATCCTAAAACATACAATTATCCTATTACATATAACCGTAGTATAAAAGATAGATAACGCAACATAAAAGATATAGTTTTTAACAGCAGCATTGGGAGTAATAAGCTGCGCAGAAAAGCTAAGGATTCTGCATTTCTTGAACCTCCAGAGCGTAGGTCTGATAGACTTCAGGTGGAGGGTACGAGAAAGGAACATTATCACCAGTCTTGTACTTGGTTCTGCCCATCGTTGCTAGTCTGTCATCAACAAAATTCACACATTTGTTAGCATGAAAAACAATCACTTCCCAGTCTCTTTGCAAGAGTGAAGCAACATCTCGAATGATATTCCCCAAGTCACCATCTTCAAAGGACTTTGGGTCTTTCAGCATTTTGCTTAGAGAGTCAGCATCAGTTTCTAATTCTAAGAACCTGATTCTCTTATCCCAAGCAAGAAGTAATCCATCTCTAATAGCCAACAATTCAGCAGTAGCAGCGGAGAGAGCATTGAATTTGGAAGCAAAGCCAGCCACCCAAATGCCTTTATCACATCTTATCACCCCCCCCCCCCCTCCACCAGCATTATCAACACTAATCCATGAGCCATCAGTGTTGAGCTTGTGGAAGCCCTTTTGAGGGGGAGCCCAAAGTCTTGGAATCTGAGAGCTAGAGGAAGAAGAGAGTCTATAGCAGGAGCTTGGATTAATTTCAAACAAAAAATATAATCGATATAGAAAAAGTAGTTTGAATAAAAACCATTTTTTGTTCAAAAATGGCCATATTCCTAGTGCTCCATATGTGTCATATTGCAACCGTAAAAACTTTTTTCCAAGTAGAATTATTAGTAAGATTAAAATCCAACCAATCTGTGAGATTAGTATTAAAAAAACGGTGTAAATCAATGTTTAAGGAATTAAATTTATGAAAAACCATAGACCAAAAAGCAGAAGAGTTAGGACAATCCCTGAAAAGATGAATAGTATTCTCTAAGGGGGCTTCACATCTCATACACATAGGGTCTAAGAAGTTCATTTTCTTTTTAAGAGTAGTTCCTACAGGGAGAATATCTCTAATTAAATTCCAAAGTAACATTTTATACTTATAAGGAACTTTAATTTTCCACATGTTTTTCCAAGCAAAGGAAGATAGGAAGGAAGTATTAAGGTTACAAGAAGGAGAAGTGGAATTATAGGCTGATTTAATATTAAAGTTACCAGAGTTGTGAAGAGTCCATTTTAATCTATCTGAAACTTGAACAAGTTTAGGTAAGGGGTAAGCTAAAATCAAAGGGATTAAGTTTGGGGGGAATAATGTGAAGCACACTATCAAGACACCATTCATTGTTTCTAATAATATCTGAAACTCGCCAATGACCTTTGGAGTCGAGAATATAAATTAGTTTACAAATGATATCAAATTAGTATCAAATTAATTAGTTTACAAATGATACACAACCCACCAACTACAACCATCAATAAGAGATCAAATTGGAGAATGAACAAAGTAGAATTCACTCAAAAACAACAGTTATGTCCAGAGACAATGTCGACCAAACCAGATCTCAAAATGACTATCCAACAGTCCAAAATAAAGCCCTTGAAAGTTGTGCTGAATAGTCCGAAAATGGAAGCTCTTGAAACCCTCTCTCTTTCTCTCTATTTTTATGCGTGTGTTTCCTCTTCTGCCTTCACACCCTCTAACAACCTTTATTACCTCAAGGGTTAAAAGCACAAACTTACTCAAGAAGCCACAAGTTAAGTCCCAAACACATTTTACTACCACATAAGTTGGACCTATAACACTTGTGTCATAGTTAACAATGTCTGAGAGCTTTTTTGGCTTGCTTTTTATACCACAATTTTAGTTGTTGACAATTAATAAAGAGGTAGTTAGTCAATGAAGATAAAGAAGTAAACATACATTTCTATTGTATATGTGTTCATACACTATTTATAAGAGTTTGGTTGAACATTCCAAAAACAAAAACAAAAAAAAAAAAAAGTCTTAAATATATTTGAATTCAAATTGCTTTAAACATGGATTGTACAAGATTACAAAGTATGGCATTTCACTCTCAATCATTATCATAATTATAATTATCAATTTGAACATCAATGAAAGCTCCTACAAAGATTAATAATTGAGACCTGAAAGAAAAAAAGATGAAAGAGAATGAGAGAAAAAGGAGCAAGAAAAGTGAAGGAAATTTTTTTTAAAAAAAAAAGCAGAAAAACCTAGCAATGGGTTTAAAGGTATTCCCAAGGAAGGAACCTTATGGAAAATAGGGAAACTCTCATAAGGGAGAAAATTTTTTTGTAGGTGGCTATTTATACATCCCTAATCGTTGTCCATTTACAACAACTAATTATCGATTAATCACATCATATCCATACGCGTAACATTAGTACTCGTAGCAAATTCATGCCAATCTATAACTATAGTTGAGTAAAAATAACTTACATCATTTTTGTCCACATGTCATTTTTTTAAATTATAAAAAAAAAATGAAATTGAGTATGGCTTCATTTTTTTTCAACTTTGCCATATGTCTATCTAAATTCAAGGGTTGTGAAAATAATTCCTCTAATTGTGTAAATACCAATTAAACCAAAAATACATTATATTGACTTTTTGTCCTCTAAATCGTGCCATCTAGTAATTTCCTACACACACATCCTTCTTCCTTGAAACCTTGACTATGATTAAATAAATGTTGACAAAATTCAAGTATATATACATATATATATATATATATATATATATATATATATATATATATATATATATATATATATATATATATTGACAGAAATTACAACTATATTTTATCATAAAGAAAATTAATAGGAAGATAATATACACTGAAGGTTTATTTTTATTTTTTTGAAATAAGATACATGGAATAGATTAAGAATGTCTTCTCACAAGATTGGGTGTCCTAAACTCCTAATCTATCTAAAAGTAAAAATTAAGAAAATTTGCTATTCATAAAATAGTTTATATCTTGATGCGTCGGAGTTGAATAGAAGAATTGGCCTACAGTGTATGTGTTTTTTTTAAAAATATCTTTGATCAATTTTGGGTTGAACTAGCTATAGTCAACTTCATCTCTGAAGAATAGTCTGTTGTAAGAGAGAAGGATTATTATTTGCCACATTCAAACATGGCGACATATCCCCCCACTTGCCCACTATTCAAAAATAATAATCAGCTACTAAAATCCTTGAAAGCGCTAAAAAAAACCATGGAAATACTCAAAAATGTAATACAAAAGCCAGAAAGCTCAAACCACGATTCACGGTTCACCAACCGCCGATCGACTATACGCTTCGACGCCGGCGAACGACGACCATTTACCCTTACATTTCAAGGTTATTAGTTCTAACCCCAATTTCCAATTCTTTATAAAGTCAGTTTTTTTTTAATCTTTAATTTGATTGTTTGAGTAATTATATATAATTTTAATTTGTATCTAATGGGTTTATTGTCTAATACTCTAATTGAGCTGTCTTGTTCACTTGTGATTATGTTAAAAGGCATGAAATTTAATGTCCCACTCCCACACTAGAATTAGTAGAAATGTATTATAGTTGTGTTAGATAGAAATTGTTATTTTGGTAGTTGTTAACTCTTTAATTGTTCAAGTTTTGTTGAGTTGCTTTGATTTGGATTGTACTTGATATTTGTATTATTTGGTTATGTTAATTGAATAATTGATTCATAATTTTCAATTTGATTGGGATGTGTTAAATGATCCAGCCAATTCAAACAAATCCAAGCCAATGTAAAAACAACCTGATTTTTTTGACGAAGAGTAAAATCACATGGAAATACCCCTTTCACTAAGTTTTCAAACTCAAGAAGATGATATGGAAATAGTTAATACAAGTAGTAGCAATGTACCACCGGAAGAGGAATACTTGATGTATGATGTTGAACATCTTTTTCATGATCTAGGAAAAAATTATCCCCAAATCATAGATGGATTACTATGCGATGTGACAATGTTCGTTTGTTCCCCGATTTGAAAGTCGTGACTTGAACTATGATTATAAAAGCGTTGAAACTTATCAACTAAGACAAAAGAGTGGTTAAAACTGGTAGTATAACATCGGTTATATATATATAACTCACTAATAACACTGGTTCTCTCTTTGGTGATTTATATGGTCTTCAAATTATTTTGTTGAATTTTTCATGTCGCCTAGTTCTCTTCTTACCTAATCCATCCAATCTTTTTTTTGATAGAGTTAAAAATCTATCATAAGCTTAAACTTTTGATTGATTTATTCATTTGATATTATCGAGAGCCATTGTTAGGTTGCATGATAGAAAATCTAATCATAAGCTTCAATCATCAATTTAAACTTTTGGTTGAGTTTGTGCTTTGACATTTTTGTTCTTCCAATGTAGAATTTTCTTGTCCTTTGACTGTTTTTTAACTGAGCTTTGAAGTATTTTTGTCAAACATAGCTGCTGTAATAAGAGCATAGAACGAAAATGAGCAAGAAGGGAGAAGATTTAGGGCCAGTGATAGGAATCGATCTTGGGACAACATACTCTTGTGCTGCAGTTTGGGAGCATAATCGCGTTGAGATCATTGTTAATGACCAGGGCAACCGTACGACACCGTCTTGTGTAGCCTTCACAGAGAGCCATCGCCTCATTGGCGAGGCTGCTAAGAACCAGGCAGTACTTAATCCTACTAATACAATCTATGGTAATCTCTCTGCTACAAACTCCATTTTAGCATTTTATGCTTTGAATGGGTTTTTATTTGATTTTTTTATGCTTTGTATTCACTACAAGAAAACATGGGATTACCAGTGGGCTTTGAATTGTTTTTGTTTGGTATTTTTTGATGTTTAGTATTCATTATAATTTCACAGGTCAAAATTAATGCCTAGCGCAAATATCGAGTAGAACTCATGTTGTGTACATGTATATGATGCAGATGCAAAGAGGCTTATTGGGAAGAGATTTACAGATGAATCAGTACAAAATGACATAAAACTCTGGCCATTCAAGGTTATTGACTCGAACAATGACGAGAATAAACCTTTGATTGTTGTCACTTACAAGGATCAACAGAAGCAATTTACTGCAGAAGAGATAGCTTCAATGGTTCTTTTGAAAATGAAACAGACTGCAGAAACTTATCTTGGTTCAGAAGTTAAAAATGCTGTCATCACTGTTCCTGCACACTTCAATGACTCCCAGCGTCAAGCAACCATAGATGCAGGCACCATTGCTGGCCTCAATGTCATGCGCATTATCAATGAGCCAACAGCTGCCGCCATTGCATATGGCCTTGATAAAATGAATACTGACCGCAAAGAGGCAGCCAAGAATGTGCTAGTTTTCGATCTTGGTGGGGGAACCTTTGATGTATCATTGGTTCGTATAAGTTATGCTATATTTGAAGTGAAAGGAGTAACTGGGGATACCCACCTCGGTGGAAGTGATTTCAACAATAAAATGATGAGCCATTTTGTTGCTGAGTTTAAGAGGAAACACAAACGGGACATTAGCGAAAATTCTAAGGCACTTGGGAAGCTGAGAGATGCTTGTGAAAAAGCAAAAAGAATGCTCTCTTCAATTTCTGAGGCAACTATTTCTATTGATTCTCTCTACGACGGTATTGATTTTCACTCAACCATTTCCCGCTCCAAATTTGAAAGGTTGAATAATGCTTTCTTCACAAGCTGTATTGATTCCATTGAGCAATGTTTGAGTGAAACTGGTATGAGAAGTGAAGATATTAATGATGTTGTCCTTGTTGGTGGGTCCAGTAGGATTCCAAAGGTTCAAGAAATGCTGAAAGATTTCTTCAATGGGAAAGAGCTCTGCAAAAGCATTAACCCGGATGAGGCTGTTGCACATGGTGCTGCAATTCAAGCTTCGATCTTGAGTGGTGTACGTAACAATGAAGACTTCTTTCTATTAGATGTCACTCCTTTGTCTCTTGGAGTTGAGCTTCATAGTGGTGAGATGAGCATTTTCATCCCAAGAAATACTACCATTCCAGTGAAAAAGTCGGATTATATTTGTACTGCAGTCGATTATCAGACATCGATTAGGTTTCCTGTATATGAGGGTGAAAGACCCTTGGCCATAGACAACAACTTCTTAGGTACATTTACTGTGCCCAATATCCCTCCAGCCTTAAGAGGTAAACACATGTTTGACGTCTGCTTTGAAATCGATAATAATGGTATCCTAACCGTGTCATCGAAGCATATAGGCACTAACAATAAATGGCAAATCACTATAACAAATCACAGTAGTAGGTTATCTAAAGAAGAGATTGATCGAATGCTGAGAGATGCTAAGAAGTACAAGGCCGAGGATGATGAGTACGAAAAAGCTCAAAAGGTCAAGCTTGAACTGCAGAAATATACTGATAGTATGTGGGATATGATAAAAAAGGGCGGAAAGCATATCGTAAAGAATGCTACAGAGATGGTTGTTGAGGAAGCCATTAATCAAACAGTTCAATGGCTTGATGATGGGGATTACATTGTAAGTGAGGCTGGTGCATTTCAGGAAAAATTGGATCAACTTCAGAGCATTTGTGATCCTTTTATTTCTGAGTTTTCCTTCTAAAGTTGCTGATATTTTATGATGTCTTGAAAGCTTCAACATTGACGTACTTACCCTGCAAAGTTTATGTTGTTTCAAAAAAATATTGTAATGCCTGCAATCTCTTTTGATTGTGATTGACGATTCAATAAGGAGTAACTCCAATGCTATAGCCAAACATTTACTAGTATTGTACGATGATATAAAAGTTATTCCATCAACTACGGTCAATCTCGTTCCAATCATATAATACAAATTATGTACTCTCATAGTCTCATACTGTATTATTGTATATATGTTCGCTACACCAAGACAAGCTAAGGTGTAGAGACAAGTCTAGAGGGGCTCGTCATTGAAAATGGATTCCACTTTTCGTGAGTAGGTTCTCTTGATCCATGGTGAATAGGTGTAGCTGAAAAGGAAATAAAAGGAAACGATGTTAGATTAATGCAACAAGAACTCCATGTACAAAATACTACAAGTTGTCATCAAAATTCATACATGGGTGTGGACTACGGAAGGGAGTTCGCCATGGTGTCTCTCCTCCCATAGAATGCAAAGGTGTACGAGGATGCAAAGGTGTTTCTCCTCCTGTCCGCTATAGCGGCATATTGCTGCAAGGATGAAGGATAACATAAACATAAAAAGTTAAAAACCGACTTGGTCTAAAAACGAAGATGAAGGAGATAGTAACATTAGAATGGAACTTACTAGCTGGTGTTTGAAACAGGCACTTTGTCAGATATATGGATTCGTTCAACTGCAAACATGAGAACAAAAGTAGTCAAAAACTCGAAATAGGAAGAAAAATGGAACTATGAATTATACTTGAAATTGTTGGAAAACTTGCTAGTAATCACTTTCATCTGAGCCTCTAACTCAACCTTCACATTCTGTCCATTGACACCCTTAACATAACCGCGATATCCTTTGTAAGGACCAGTGGCGTATCCAGGAATTCCGAACCGTGGGTTCGAAATCTTAAACGATGATCATATATTAATTAAATATTCAATGCATATGTTCAAATTTTGCGACTCAATTATCCGCATCATGAATAGGAGACACAATATCTTCTTTTATCGGAGGATTCCTTGGACTAGGCGAAGAACAAGTAAAGGACTTTTGCGACTTCCCGACACGTTTCCAAAAATACTCTAAACTCATTGTAAGTTGGTAACAAAAGCTCTACAATCTACAATAATACACAAAATAAACAATCTATAATTGTTATTTTCAATTTTAAAGTATATACTAGTTACAACATTACTACTTCTATAAATCTACTACTTTTAAAGTATAATCTATTGCAAAAAATTATATTACACATAAAACAAAAATCCTAAGTCCCAAATCTATCTACATATATACTAAAGTAACAACCGCTGATGTCATCACTGCCTACGTGTCACTTTCTTATTTTATTTTTTCCCTCCAAAATACATGGATGATATGATGTCATATTTTTCCTTTACAAGCTACCCTATTTAACATTGCTTTGAAAATTAAATTCGATTTGAATTTTTAAATTTTTGGTTTTCTATAGATATTATGTTATTTAGTTATTTATGATTTGTTAACAAAAGTTAATAATATAATTTAATTGAAATTTCCTAATTAAATATGAAAATTATACACTTTTGGGAATTGTATATTCATATTAAATAAAAAAATTAATTAGGAAAACGGAGGAAGTAGTTATTTTATTTCAATATGTGTTAAAAGTTTATAATTCAATTCTTATTATAAACTGTGCATCGCACGGGATTAACCTAGTAAACACATACACTACTACAAAAATAAGTAAAGAGACCCGTCCAAAAATGCCTGAGAGACCGCTTTTGGACGGGTCTCTATCTCAGGGGTCTGTTTGATAGAGAGACCCAATCATAAGGGGGGTCTGTTTGTTAGAACAAATAGATCAGTTGCTGGAGATAGGCGGTCTGTTCTATAACCAATAAGGAGATAATTTTAAAAGGGAAAGAGACCCGTTATATGAAATCTATGGTCTGTTTAGTGATATTAAACAAACCTGGTACCTTACACAACGGGTCTGTTTAGTGATATTAAACAAACCTGGTACCTTACACAACGGGTCTGTTAAATCTTTAATTTAACAAAAAAAATTGATTTTTGAAATTTGAATGTCACGCACTATTAAAATTGGCGGAGTTGAGCAAAAATCAATATAAAAAAAATAAATAAGCATAAAAACAAAATAACAAAAAATAAAATGATATTGAAATTAAGCAAAATAGAGTTACAACACAGCAATGTACTACTTGAGCAATAGTGTGAAGAATAATAAAAAAAAAATGTTACATTAGTCTCATTGTAATTCTCTAATCTCTAATTACAATAAAATTCAATAATGAACTTTGACCACCCAGTATATGCACCGACCTCCTTTCTTTCCTTTTTCTTGTGAAGATTGAAGGCAGAAAATGAACACTGCCAATAAGAAAAAATAAAAATAAAACAAAGGCAGAAAAGAAATAAGTTAAATTCAAGAAATTAGGAACAAGGGATGAAATCAAGTACCTCAAAATTCAAGAAAAAATTGGACTCCAGCAAATCGATGAGTTATGTAGAGAATAGCAACAAATTTAGATGCATGCCCAGTTCAATTTTCGGACTTGATTTTCAGCGAATTTAAGCAACAAACGTAAGAGAGTAGTTGCGGTTCAACCTATAATCACAAATGGTGTATAAATCGAAGAACAATAAGGGGTAATAAACCAAACTCCAGAAAAATATACTAATAAACCCTGATTAATTTCACACAAAAACCAAGATTATTGAATTTTTTTTCTCTCAAAAACGATTGTTATGCAAAAAAATACTCCATAAATTTAACTGATATGACATAATTACACAAAAATGTGAAACAACCCAAATTTAAAAATTACCTAAGAAGATTAAACATAAATCAAATTCATCTTAAACGACAATCTCCTGCTTACCAAATATGTAGCGATGCAATTCTTCAAACAATACCAATTTAAGCATCAACTCGACACCGACGCATCCCCGGCAAAGTGAGGGGGCGATTTCTCCTTTGGCGTTGAGGAGGAAGCAACGCTAATGTTGAGGACGGAAGAAATAAGCGACATCGACGTTAAGGAAGAGATAAGCGACATCGACGTTAAGGAGGTGGTGGTAGCGGCGTTTTTGCTCTGGGAAAGGAGATAAGAGGATAGAAGAGGAAAGAGAAAGAGAAAACGGCGTGAATGGCGTGGTAAAGCTTGGGAAATAAGAAGAGAAAGGGGTAGGGTTTTGTTGTTTAAGGGCGTGTTCGGCGTTAGCTTTTGAGTAGCTTTAAGGTAGCTTTTAGAGGTTTGACCAAGTCAAACCACTACTCAACAAAAAATGTGAGTGTTTAGCAAAGTAGTGGTTAAGGTAGCTTTAAGTGGTAGAGGTAGCTTTTGTGAAAAGTTAGAAACATTAGCTTTTGAAATTAGAGATAACTTTTCAAGTAGCTGTTGAAAATTTAATCTATAGTTTTAAAAATAAAAAATTGATTTTTATATTTAACAGCTAGTCAACAACCACTACTCTACCGAACACTCATATCTAAATTATTTATCTTCACAGCTAACAGCTTGTTGACAGCTAACGGCTACCTACACAGCTACAGCTACCTTCACAGCTATATTTTGTCGAACACGCCCTAAGTGGTGGGCCCTTGCTCACATAAGAGAGCCGTTAAGTTTAACTAAGGGTCTCTTAGTTTTCTCTCTTTATCTATCCCGAATTATTGGTGGGGCCTTTGATATGTTAGAGACCCGTTATCTCTAATATTGGCTCCCTTATATTAAACAGACCCGTTGTATTAACTAACGGGTCTTTTATTGTAGGTTCTTTTGCCCATTTTTGTAGTAGTGATATTTGACGATATAAACTTTTTCTAATTATCAATTAAAAGACCAAGTAAAAAATTTAAAATTCCAAGTTTCTACAATTCAATTTGTCAACAATTCAAGTATTTAACAATATATCAAAACCAATTAAACAAATCAGTAATTAATTTAATCATCACTAAATAAGAAATAAAAAAGAAAAAAACAAAACAAAAAATACAAAAGTGAGGGCAAGAAGAATCGAACGCAGGACTTATGAGGAACTCGCTGCTCTAACATTCAGCGACTTTCCAATGCGCCAAACATACTCAATAGATTATTTGCCTCATAAAAACTCTTTTAATCCTTTTTTAATTTTTTTTATAAAAAAAAAAAATTAAACCTTATAATTTTTTTTCAATGGGTTTAATTTTTTAATTTTTTTCAATTTTTTAATTTTTTTAAAACTTATAAAAAAAATCTGTGGGTTCAATGAACCCTTTGAACCCTCTAGATCCGCCTATGGTAAGGACCATGGAGTATTTTCACTTTATTGCGGCGAATGAATGAATCATGTTTCTTCCAAGTGTTCCCAGTCACTTGTCCCACTGTGTCAGTCAACATCAATTACCAGTACATGGAAAATAAATAAATGACTTCAGAAAAAATAAAAACCTTGCATTTGAAATTTCATTAAACCAAAATTGAGTCTTAGATCAGAAATTAACATACTAGTAGATGAAGAACGACTTCCAGAAAGTGATTTGCAGGATGAATGTTGTGGCAAAGATTTCGAGGCTGAGGAATTTTGCTGCAAAAATTGGAGATGACAAGTAAGCATCAAAGAATGTGGAAAGAAGACAGAGGATGAAATTCAGCAAGTTCGAAGCCAAATGAACTTACAGGTCTTTCCTTATAATCATTGATCCCAAATTTAGTTCTGCTTTCTGATGTCTCATTCGATTCAAAAACTTGTGCAGAAAACACGGTAATCTGCAAAGGGGAAAATACATAAACTATGGGAATGCTGCTTCATGCCAAGTAAGTCAGAGTAATCAGAAATATTGCAATTTGAACCTACAAGGTCTTTTGATGCATCAGATAGAATAACAAGCTTATTTTGATCAACCTTTACAACCATACCGGTCGCACCTTCCAGCTGACCACTTATATAACCTTCACTTGACACCCCGGTTCAAAATACTTGGCGAGTTCCTTTCCTTGCACAGCAACCGTTTTCTGCCACAAAGAAGAATAACATGAGCCATCAAAACATGAATGTATTCATCATTTTTCTTATTGATAGATACATTGAATGGACTTTTACCAAAGGTATCTTCTCAGTAGGTGTAGGTCTAATATGAACGATATCTCCCTCCACATACTCAACAAATCCCTTCAAATTCTTTGAATCACCTTTCACCACCACAACTGCATCTTCCCTCATCCAACAACCCTTTCTATTCCTTTAAATAAAGTCGCCATATCTGCATCAGATTCTCCAATTTCTCGAAAGTTTTCAACTTCTTGTATACTTGGATGTATATCTCCTGTGATAACTGAACTCTGAGCAGCTGTCTTATACAAGTAATCTACACCTTCTTGAGAAAAGCAAAGAGCAGCCAAAATTGATGTTAATAAATTTCAGACTTTAGAATATGCCTATGTTTGAAGTACTACTTGTAAAGATAATTAAGTACATGCGTATTGCATACTAGTTTATCTGATAAAGTTAAGGCGTTCAACTTAGGAGTAACTTTCACAGTAACTTTGTGCTTTACAGTGTCAACATCTACAACCTACAACAATTATAACCAAATATTACAAAGGTAAGTTTGCAACAAGTAACAAAACATCAAATGAGTCACTGAGACGGTAAGAAAATCAAATCAGACCTTGGCAAGGTCACCTTTGTAACTTGATTGTTTCAGTCCAACCCAATCCCCTTTTGAAACATGAACCATATATAGCGCCACCACCGCCCTCCCCGAATCCACCAACAGCGACGCACCAACACTCCCAACACACCTGAACCCTCCCCCTCCCTTTCCCGCAACCGTGCCACCCCCAAAAACCTCCAAACCCAAAACCCTCCTTCCCCAAAACGGCCACGAACCAGATCACAATGGCCGAAATCGGCCGGTTTTGGGGCTGAGTGGCCTTAACCGGCTGATTTTGGCCATTTGTGGCCGGATTCGTGGTTGTTTTGGAGGATTCGTTGCTGTTAAGGGTTGTGGGATTGGTGGTTTTTGGAGTCGATTACGGTTGCGGGAAAGGGAAGGAGGGGTTCAGGTAGGTTGGGGGATGAGACGCGCCGTCGGTGGGGGGTTCGGGGAGGGCATGGTGGCGCGTTGGTGGGGTTGGGATGGTTTTAGGTTTTTTTTTTTTTGCCAATAATAAAGCGACACATGGCTTTATGGGCCCACTTAACGGATTCTTAAATGGGATCTGTTAAGTGGTGGTAATTAGGGGTGTACAAAAACTGGACCGGACCGGACCTGACCCGGACCCGTTGATTCAGGTCCGGTCCCGGTCCTTGAAAATCCAGGTTTCCGGTCCCGGTCCGGACCCGGTCTAAACCCGGGGTTTTCAAGTCCGGACCTGAAACCCGGGAAAATTGTATTTTTTTAAAAAATAAAAATAAAAAATTCAAAAATCAACGTTGACTCTTCACTTTTCTCTTTCATTTCTAAGTTCTAACCCTAAGTGCTAACTCCCTGTCTCCCACTCTCCCTCACTCTCAACTTCTCAGAATCTCAAGTCTCACTGAGTCACTGTCTCTCCGCCCACCGCCCAAAATCGATCAATCCAAAAACCCAAAAAATAAAAATAAAATTCAGTAGTACTAGAAGTAGTAATTGTACCAATAATGAGGCTGTGATGATAATTAATCGTTTAATAGCAATCAATTTTCAATTTGGTTTTTGTGGGCATTTCTTGTTTTGGTTAATTTGTCATTTGGCTTGGCAGCAATTTGATGGGTGTTTGCATGTTGCTAGGTTGAGATTTTCTCTCTCTTCAAATGCGCATCTTTTCAGGTTTGGTTTGCCGCCATTGTTGATTTTTCCCTTGCTAGATTTGCCACACCAAATTGTTTGTTTGATGCTATGCCGATCTGAGCCTCCTGTCAAAAAAATTTCTTTTTTTGGTCTATATTTAATATTAATCATGATAAGAATTGTTTAGATGAATTGAAGATGGACAAATTTGAGGTTAAGGTTGGGTTTTTTAGTCGTTGAAAGTTAGATATTAAAGTTTGGTTCTTTATGCTTAAATTTGATGAAACAGAACTAGAGTGGACATCCAGAGATAAATTGGCAATCTTATGAGGTTAGAATCATCTTAAAGTTATAGTAATTCTGGATCACAGCCTTTGAAACAGGTTATTTATTAAAAAAAAAACGAAAAAATCACAAAACAGGTCCATTCAGGTCTAAACCCGGACCGGACCTGATTTTTCAGGTCTGGCCCGGAACCGGACCTGTTAAATCAGGTCCGGTCCCCGGTCCTCAAAATTACCTAATTCAGGTCCCCGGTCCAAACAGGTCCGGTCCAGGTCCGGTCCGGTTTTGGACCGGTGTACACCCCTAGTGGTAATACTCATTTTTAGAAATTTGTCTCGTGTTAAAATAATTTTTTTTATAGGGGTGTTAAAAACCATTTTCGGGTTTTTGTGTGGTGTTAAAATTTAAATTTTCCAATATAATATGTTTTCATAAAAGGAAAAAAAAATACGGACCATTTATATATTTAAGTATATTTTTAAATAGATATTTCGTGATAAAGAGTAAAATAATCGTGCATGGCATGAGATCTAACCTACTCTATAACTGTAAGGCCCTATTCTGTTCACCTTAAAAAATAATATTAAGTAAAAATAATTTCAGTTCAGTAAAAACAAGTTCAGTTCAGTAAAAATAATTTCATATCAGTTCAGTAAAATTCAGTTTTCTTAAAGAAGAATTATAATAGAAAATCAGTAAAAATAATTTTAGTTCAGTAAAAATAATTTCAGTTCAGTAAAATTAAGTTCAGTTCAGTAAAAATAAGTTCAGTTCAGTAAAAATAATTTCAGTTCAGCAAAATTAAGGTGAATCAAACAGGATCTAACTAAGTAAAAAATTAATTTCATCATTTTTATACATGTGTCATTTTCTCAAAAAAGAAAAACAAATTATTCTTTTCAAAATTAATAATGGCAGCATTTTTTTTTCAACTTTGTCATATCTATCTATTAAGTTATACTACCTCCGTTTTTAAATACTTGCTCCATTTCTTCATGCGCGGAGTGTTGGGAGAAATTAGAGAAAGTAATAAAATATGGAGGTAGTGGGGTTAGAGAAAGAATAAAAAAGTGAAGAAGGCAAAAGTAATGAAGAGAATTGGAGGAGCGAGAGAGAATATATATTGGGGCCACTAGGTGAGAGAAACTAATTAAATTTTGTAGAAACTTTCCAAATAAGGAAATGTAGCAAGTAT